TTGAATACTAACCTTTTGTAGTTCAAATTCCTTTTTCCTCATGAACCAGTTTCGAACCACTACTAATGTCTTCGCTACTATTCTCCAGCCTTAGAACGGGATTGTGGAATCGAGTGAGCGACTAAACTTGATAGGAATTTAGTATATGTAAAGAGAGAGTGTTGAGAGATTTTCTCAAAGCAAAATTTCCATGTAGGTTGATCACTCTATTTATAGAGTCATATTTGCCATTACCAAATTGTGACACTCAAAATTTCACTCAAATTTGTGGAATTTGTGGGATTATGTGACAAGTATGCAAATTTGAGTTAACAAAATTTTGACACTCAAAATTCCACTCAAATTTGTGGGATTATGTGGCAAACATGCAAGTTTGGTTAAACTATATATTGACACTCAATATTCCATTAACTCAAATATAGATTTTTCCATTAAGTAAGTCAACATTTTGACTTTCTTATTTTAATTCAGCCATTAATTTAAATAATTAATTTCAAATCAAAATAATATTAAATGATTAATTAAACAATTTAATTAATATATAACATTAAATCAAATGTCAATCCCAATCAATCTCGGCACATATGTATTATTCCTATTCATAATTAAAATATCTAAATCTTATTTAAATATCTCCAATACTCTTTTTTTTTGTTTAATTCATAATTAAAACAAAATGCGGTTAAATATATTATATATATTTAGCATATATTCCCTAATTTGAATTCGAACACTTTGAACTCACTCGTCACGTTGTTCTAAGGTTTAGTCCGATATGAGCTAGTAGGGGGACCTAATGGACCTACAAATCATGGGCTTCAATGATCCAAGATTAACCGGCTAAACTCATTAACCTTGTTAACCAACATTCGTTAACTACTAGGACACTCCACTATAGCCTAGTAGTTGCACTCCCCTCACTATAGATATATTTTTGTCCATTTGATATAACCATGATTAGTAAGTCGATCATTCACAGGTTGTTCATAACTAGAGCTGGGTCAATTTACTATTTTAACCCTAAAGTTACTTCTTGTTGTTTAAGTCTCATTGATCCTCTAATGAAGAATTGGTTTGTGGTCCAACCACCGAACTGAATCCCTCTCGGGCCAATGAGAGAGTGGGGCCCCTTGTTCAAGACTTAGAGTTAGTACTTAAGGGAACAACCTCTCTACTGTCCCTAAAAGCAGGTAGGAGTGAATTCCATCTTACACCCTATGTCCCCAACTATTCACCCAGTCTTACCCCTGAAATGGGAGGCTTATTAAGTCGGCGAACTCGGGCTACTCTCACCCATGCAAATCTAAAGATAATTCCGAATAAACAGGAGTTCCTAGTTAGCTCAGGATTAAGATCGAGTTACTTAGGTCATCGAATGAAAAAATCAGTCTCAACAGTAAACGACATTATTAAGTGAGAGAGGTTTTTTTTTATGATCCGATCTTATGCAATACTCATTGCAAAGGACGCCCCCCACTTACATGTCTCCACATGTACAATTTAGTGATCACATTGTTTATATCATATACAAAAGTGGGCCGCATCCGTAGTGTCCCTAGAATAAGGTACTCAGCCTTATCCCTGTACTATTGATAATTTTGACTACATACTTGAACTTGATCCACTCTTATGTCTCTGCATATAGTTCAAGTAATCATACTATAGCCAGAGTGCTCTTAGTTTATTGGATTTAGATTAATGATTGTAAAATTCACTTTATTCAATAACAATCTTTACTGAATAAACATCAATAATAATTTTATTGAAAACAGACTATGTGTTTTAGGACATAAAACCCAACAAAAAGCTGCTCCAAATGTCGACCATTCATCACCTTTCATTAGTATTTTAGAATTTAATAATAATTCCAACTGACATATGTGAAATACGGCATTAAAACAACCTCAATTACCTTAATTAGGGTCGAAAATAGGTTTGAAACGGTCAGAACGGTGAAAATTGAGCTAAAATTGGAGTACCCGAGCCGATCAGCCGATTTGGAGCCGAAGGAATCGAAGGAGCCGATTCCAACTGTTGAGCCGAAGGAGCTGCTCGCTGTAGGTGCACCATGTTGCACAACAGGAGGTCGATGCGTGTGTAGGTAGTTTTTGGTCGTGGAGGGTGTGCACGGTTCACTTTCGGGTACACGGGTCTCATCTGTTGTAGGCTGGGCTGATGAGGTGATTGGGCCTCGATTCATGGGCTGTAGGCGATGCGGGTAACAGATGTGCAGGTTAGCTGTTAGGGGTAGACTAGTTACAGGTTGGGGCTCGGTTCACGTTGGTTGCAGCGAATGGATGGGCAGTTGTTACAGGTTGAATCTGACCCAAATCCGAATTCCATGGATCCTTTCTTCTTTACCCGACTTCTGCGTGGTTTTTCAATGGCGACTTTTCTCTCTCCTCTATTCGACGTTTTCGATGCCATTTTTCGTCCTTTTTCTTTCTCTACTTCTCTATCCACCTCTCTTCTTCCCTTTCCTGAAGTCTTGTAACTTGAAAAGTGCTACAACCAAAAATCTATAAGCATCTCAACAAACCAAATTCTCGACCTTGTTACCGACGACGACGCAAATAGGAGGGATGCAAAACTTACCTTAGATTGATGTATAGTCGTCGAGGATCCTTTTCGTGGCGTGATTCAAGCGTTTCCATGTCAAGTTTGGTCGTTTTGGCCACGGGTTCAGATCTCGCTGAAAAACCTCGCCAAATTGGTTTGGTCGAGTTTTTCGTCTTTTTTCTTCCTCTATTTCTCCATCCATCTATTTATCTAAAATAAAATACAAATTTTATACATGATAAACTTGAGATCTAAAAAAATAAAATGGGGTGCAAGGAATTAAACTCCATATCTCTTGCATGCAAAGTGAACCCTCAAAATAAAAAAAAATGGAGGTGTAGGGAATTGAACCCCGTGCCTCTCGCATGCAAAGCAAGCGCTCTACCATATGAGCTACACCCCTCTATTTCTCTAAAATAAAAGACGTTGTATGAAAAAATAGGGCAATTATGTTTTGCATCTAAAAAAAGGAGTAATTATAATTTTATACATGATAATTTTTAATATCTAAAATTTATAAAAATGGTAAAATTTATAAAAAATGGAAGTGCAGGGAATTGAACCCCGTGCCTATCGCATGCGAAGCGAGCGCTCTATCATATGAGCTACACTCCTCCATTTCTTTGAAAAAAAAGACATTGTATGAAAAATTAGGGTAACTAGGTTTTGAAATCAAAAAATTGGGTAACTATAATTTTATATAGGATATCTAAAATATAAAAATGGATGGGTAGGGAATTGAATCTCATGCCTCTCGCATGCACTCTACCATACGAGGTAAATCCCCTTTATTTCTTTAAAATAAAAGACATTGTATGAAAAATTAGGGCAATTAAGTTTTGCATTTAAAAAAATAGGATAATTATAATTTTATACATCATAATTTGATATGTAATATATAAAAATAGATGTAACGACCCTAGATACCTAAAGTCTCTACCATCATCTTAATCTAAGCTTATATACGGAATATAGCAATAATTTTCAAACATAAATATACTTCATCAATGAAAACACCGCCATGGTCTTACGTGTTCAAAATATAATTTAAAAATGAAATTGAAAATGATAATGAAATAAATTTAAAAACATGAAAGACATAACAACCTATTCTAACCTAATTCTAGGAAATTAAATATACTTCTATCCTATGCACGTGTCATGGTCTCTACTTTGCGATGCCACCGTCAACTGTACATGGACGCCTTTCCTTTACCTGAAACATGATGTAGCACACGGTCTGAGTATTTCGAAGATTACTCATTAAGTGACCCCACCATAGGGGTCGTAAAAATTATAAACACATGCAACAGTGCTCTAGGGGCCTATCATTAAATCATCCTAGAGGTGCCCTACAGTCTAGACTAACTTAGATGTGTAATACTTCCCTACACAGGACCCACATGTGTGAGTGTGAATCTTGAGGTGGTTAGCACCCCCTTGGACCCATCATCGTTGAGTTAGCTGTCCGTAGTGATGTCTGGAGGACAGCGGGTTCCTAAGTGTCATGCTTGACATGATCACCGTCATCATTGTAATGTGTGCTTCCTCAATCATCATCATCAAAGGGAAAGTATCCTGATGCTTATGTACATACATAAATGCATGAGTTACTTCTAACTTCTCATCTTTTAAAACGTCTTTATGGAACAACCCCAGTCTCATCTGTGGATTACTATTAGTAATATATGCGCATTAACTTCTCTTCTTAACGTCCTATTAATATTTTGTAGGGTTGTGTCCTAGGTCGAATTATCAACATAATGCAATATGGCATTCATAACATGCATCTCAATTTAATATGAAAAAAAAAAGTCATATTAAGGTAAACAACATTATGCATCATCATCACATATCGTCGTCATAATACTACCGAAAATACATCATGCTCATCATCACACATCATCAAACGTCATCATACATCTTAATATATAAGTCATACGTCATAATTATAAAGCATAAAGGACACGTGCTGGTGTCACTAGACAAATGTCGTCAGATATCATTGGGTAAGCATAAAGGACACGTGCTGGTGCCACTGGCGTTCGAAGTCTCGTTGGAATCCAACAGAATACGATTTAGGGTTTTGTGATCTATTATCGGGTAAAGAAGATGGTTTGTCGGTCGAGTCGAGTCAATTTGTCAACATTCGAATACCCACGATCACGCAGAGTCTAACCTATCACCTCAACATAATTGTCTCGGGCCAACCAGTTGCTCACAACCCATAATCTAGCCCACAATTAATCAAATTATAAAAGCCCAGATGTAATCCGCTGGCCACAGTCCAGGCCCAACACGATTCCGGCCGAAGTGAAGGCATCGACCCAGTAGATTTGCGACCCGTCGGCAAGCCTACGACCCGCGACCTATGCCCAGAAGACTCGCGTGTATTTGGCTCAAACGTGTGCACAACGTCAGCTTGACTCTGTTTTTCGGACGGCTCGACTTGGCGGCTTGGCGTCTTGACTTAATCGGCTCGTTTTTTTACCCTTCTGAAGCCATTTCTAACCTTATTTAAGCCATTTGAGGTCAGTATGACTTTTATTTACCAAATATGATTAGTTTAGGAACTTATATTGATAATTAAACATAATGTTTAGTTTTGTTAAGTTATGAATAGGCCTTAAGCATATTATGGATTTTTATAGGAAATAGTTAGGAGTTGGAATTGTATCATCAAGGCGACTACCTTATTGTGAGTGACTTCGGCCAAGGCCAACCAAGTGATCTTACTGTTGGCGTTAGCTTATATGATGTATGATGGTGCATGCCTTATGGCTTTTGCATGCACCATATTATATGTGATACGTTTGTTTATGATTATGTGATGTTTATGTATCCTTGTATTCATATGAAACGAATGCCACGTATGCATGTAGTCCATTACACTACTTTCAAAAATGAACTTAAATGCTGAAATTGAAATGTATGTCTTACATGTGTGATTGTGATGGATTGATAATTTTTGCCTTGAATACACGTTCTATGAAGGAATTATGTTATGGAATGTAAAGAAAAGAAAATTATTAAAAGTTATGTTATGAAACGTAAATCACGGAACCTCATGTATGTATGTATGTCATATGCATTGGGATACTTTCATATTATGATAGGTTAGTGCGGATGCCTATGTTCGATATTTATGTTTGCCATGATATCATGTAGGCCTATTTTATGTGGCGTCTGGTGACGTGTAATACGTTGTGCCCGACCAAGTCAGACCCAGGGGGTACGTATACAAGCCCACCTGGTGGGCCCATGTGTGCGTACGTTGGCCGTGTGTGGAGAAGTACAAAAAATTCAATCCTGTCCAGATTTGGAAAGAGCCTAAGGTTATGTAAAACTTATGAAAGATAGATCCCACTCATGTTTTGCATATGTTTGCATATCTAACCTCAACCGTGGGATGACTTATTGAGTATCTCATACAATACTCAAGCCACGTGCTACCTTAATTTTTTAGGTAAAGTAGAGCTTCATGCACGAATGACGGTGAATGCTGAGAAGACCAGTGGAAGTTGATATGGAGCCTAATAGGGTAGTTTACGTTAGGTTTTTTTTTTTTTTTTTTTAAGTTTGATTTTCATTTAAAACGATGCTAAATTGAATTTTCAAGTTATAAATCGATTATGTAAGTCTTCTTTAATTTTAAAATGTTTATTATGAATTTCTACATGTATGATTTAAGTAGGCATGGATTGAGGTCCCTAATTAGGTTAAGAAAATTAGGGACGATACATGTGTTGGTGCCACTAGACACGAGTCGTTAGATATCAAGCAAGTTACTAATCTATTCTATAGTAAGGCCACTTACTTGGTTGGCCTTAGCCAGAGTTCTACCTGGCTTAACTATACGTTAGCTTCCGTTCCTCGAAAGTTGCTCCAAATGTCGTCGGGGTTTGTTTCTTATTAGATAATTTGTCACCTTTGGTTAGTATTTCACAATTTAATAATAATTTCAACTGATGATGTGAAATACGATATTAAAACAACCTCAATTACATTAATTAAGGTAAAAAACAGGTTGAAAATTGAGCTAAAATTGGAGTACCCAAGTCGATCAACTAATTTGGAGCTGAAGGAATCTAAGTCGAGCTGATTCCAGCCATTGAGTCGAAGGAGCCGCTTGCTGCTAGTGCACCATGTTGCACAACAGGAGGTCGATGCATGTGTAGGCAGTTTCGGGTTGTGGCAGGTGTGCATGGGTCACTTTCGGGTACGCGGGTCTCGACTGTTGTAGGCTGGGTTGATGAGGCGATTGGGCCTCGATTCATGGGCTGCAGGCGAGGCGGGTAACGGATGTGCAGGTTAGCTGTTCGTGCTAGGTCAGTTATAGGTTGGGCCTCGGTTCGCGTTGGTTGCAGCGAATGGATGACCAGTTGTTACAGGTTGAATCTGACCCGGATCCGAATTCGATGGATCCTTTGTCTTTACCCGACTTTTGCATGGTTTTTCAACGATGACTTTTCTCTTTCCTCTATTCAACGTTTCCAATGTCGTTTTCTCGTCCGTTTTCTTTCTCTACTTCTCTATCCACATCTCTTCTTCCCTTTCCCGGAGTCTTGTAACTTGGAAAGTGCAACAACCAAAAATCTATAAGCATCTCAACAAACCAAATTCTCGACCTCGTTACCGACGACGACGCAAATAGAAGGGATGCAAAACTTACCTTAGATTGATGTATAATCGTCGAGGATCCTTTTCATGGCGTGATTCGAGCATTTCGATGTCAAGTTTGTTCGTTTTGGTCACGGGTTCTTGGTTTGAGATCTCGCCAGAAAACCTTCCTAAATTTGTTTGGTCGCTTTGGTCATGGGTTCTCGATTTTAGATCTCGCCAAAGCCGTTTCTCATCCTTTTTCTTCCTCTACGTCTCTATCCACATCTCTTCTTTTGTTTCCCGAAATCTTGTGACTTCAAAAGTCCTACAACCACAGATCTATAAGTATCTCAACAAACCAAATTCTCGACCTCATTACCGACAACTATGAAAACAGGAGGGACGTGAAACGTACCTTAGATCGATGTACAGTTGTCGAGGATCCCTTTCGTGGCATGAATCGAGTATGGTCGTTTTGGCCACGGGTTCAGATCTCGTAGACAAACCTCGCCAAATTGGTTTGGTCGCATTTCTCGTCTTTTTTCTTCGTCTATTTCTCCATCCATCCGTCTTCTTCCCCTTCCTGACGTCTTGTGACTTGAAAAAAGCTACAACCATGGGTTCTGAATTTCGAATCTTGACGAAAAACTCGCCGTTCATCTTAAAACACAGCCATGGACTTATGTGTTTGGAAAACACCTTTAAAAACGACACAACAAAATACTAAATAAAATAAATAAACGTTTAAACTTCCTATTCTAGCCTAAGTTTAAGAAAATAAACACGACTAACTATTCATGTGTCATGATCTCGAGTTGCAATGTCATCGTCAGCCATACATGAATGTCTTGCCTTAACCTGAAATAGAAGTAGCACGTGGCTTGAGTATTTAAAAAAATACTCAATAAGTGACCCACTATTGGGGTTAAATGCAAGAACATGTGAATGCAATGCTAGGACCTATCCTTTCAATCTATTTCCTACGGTACTATCCTAACGGGTAGCTTGGATGTATATCATATACTCTACACACAGTCCATACGTGCGGGTATGGACTCACCAGTCAGTTCGCACACCACTCGGCCACTTTCTTTGTTGGGCGAGCATAGTCTGGGAGCTCCTTAGGCAGGCCACCCGTTAGAATTAGTAATCGTCACGACAGCATTAGATTAAACATAATCATCATTTTCCTGCTTGACCGTCACAGCATTAGATTAAACATAATCGTCACGACAGCATTAGATTAAACATAATCATCATTTTCCTGCTTGACCGTCACAGCATTATGATAAACATAATAACTGTTTTCCTGCTTGGTCATCGCAGCATTATGATAACCATAATAATCGTTTTCCTGCCTCGTAACGTACGCGTTCATACTATCGTGAAGGGTAAAGGGTATCCCCCAATGCATGAACACACACTAATGCATGAGGTCCCAACATTTTCTCATTTTCATTGTCATTTAATACAACCCCACTAGTGTTCCATACATACCATATCGTTGTTCATATCATTTCACATATCTTTTATCATATCATTTACCATATCTTTCATGCATAGGTCGGGGTTGTATTTCATGCTAGTTCTTCGTTTTGCATGTCAATCACATCATATCATTCAAATTACATTTATATATCATATCATAACATTTCATGCTTCCAAACATAAAAGTTTTTAGCATATACATATCATAGCATAAGATATCGTATCACAATATATCATATCATAAACATGTCAATTATCATGTCTTGTACCATAACATATTTCATCTCATTTTCATATCGTATCACTAATATATATATATATCTCATTCACATGCCGTATCATAATCATATCATATCATAAACACTTCGTGGTCATATTGTTCTCTAACCTAACATAGCCTTAACATTCTTATATCTATCAGAGTCATAATGTTACATGAATGTATCTTAGTCATATCATTACAGGAACATATCATAACGCTATCGTTCTATCAATCTATCATAATCCTATCCCTTTCTACCCATAACCTAACCATATTCTTTTATCAATCGATCGTGACCATATCGTTTTTATCAATCTCTCATATTTATAGCACTTCGATGCCTAACCTAACCTTAACGTTTCATGAACGTATCTTACTCCTATCATTACATTATATTTAGTGCATCCTTCTCGTATCATATCTCAAATATATCATTGAACACATCGTACCATAAGTATTATCATATAATTCATATATTATAACATATACATATCATATCATAAGCATATCGATCCATAAAAAATTCACACATATCAATATCTATGACACGTGCAAAACCACAGGGCACGTGTCCACATCAAATATAACCATGCCGATAGTAACGCCACTTCCCTGATTAGTTTAGGTTAATGTCACAAATTTATCCTCAATGAAAATTCGATTTTGTCCATTGAAATCCAAGTACGTAACCTAACCTTAACGTTTCATGAACGTATCTTACTCCTATCATTACATTATGTTTAGTGCATCCTTCTCGTATCATATCTCAAATATATCATTGAATACATCGTACCATAAGTATTATCATACAATTCACATATTATAACATATACATCTCATATCATAAGCATATTGATCCATAAACAATTCAGACATATCAATATATATGACACGTGCAAAACTATAGAGCACGTGTCCACATCAAATATAACCATGCCGATAGTAACGCCACTTCCCTGATTAGCTTAGGCTAATGTCACAAATTTATTCTTAATGAAAATTCTATTTTGTCCCTTGAAATCCAAGTAAACCTTGGTGAGCCCATCAATTTCAAGTTTAAACTTCTACAAAATTGTGTGCTATACTTAGGTCTAAGTACAATGGA